TCCTTTCAAAGCGGGCAGCTCGTCAGTTATGCGGGTCGGATGCTGGTTACGCCGTGCCGCACTGCGCTGAGCGCGCCTCTGCGTTGCCTGGCGACGGTGCACGGAAAGCTGGCGACAGGCCAGGTCGGCCGACCCCGGGGGCATCGGGTCAAAGGTCGACTGACGATGACCACCTGCATGGCTAGAATTCACGACAGGCAAGTACGAAACACCAGAGAGGCTTATTGCTGTCTCTTGATGAGGTATGAAATACGAAAATGCTTACTGCCGTCTCTTTTGCAAAAACCTCAGACAACGGATTTTTTGAAGCTCAGCAATATCTTGCAAGTATGCAATCACACGACCCGTTCATGTTCCACAACAACTTTCTACTAAGCTTTTGCTAGGCCAGGCCTCAAGTCGCAAGCCACGTCATCCTGCACCACCGGCCGGCGATGTGAACGCGGTCTTCCCTGTCTGTCCTGGAGGCAACCTCCGTCACCGTGCAGCATCGTTAGGAACGGCGTGATCGGTAGCCTCGGCCGGGCGTCGGTACGTGATAAGTCAGTGCAAGATACGCTTAAAGAAAAGCAGATCGACAAGCCGAAAACGCGATATGGAATGTTCCGCCTACGTGTCGCCTGCTAGTGCTCGGGAACATCTTTTGCCGTTTCGGCAACGAAGCTCAAGCCGCGGGCTTCGCTTCCGTCGCCACCCTCTCCTCAGCATGTATGCACGTGGAGGCCGCAGCACAGAGATCTCTCGCGATGCCACACGAAGACTGTGGAAGTGTTCCAGTGGCTGTTTTTATCGCAGACGTTTCAACCGTGGCTTGGTGCAAACACCTTTCTCCGTAGCTAGGAATAGCGAGCTTGCGCGGTCACGTCGTACCACTATGAAGAACGATGTCTGAAATGTTTTTTATGAACGACACTCATGCTGGAACGAAGGCCCTCTGGTGTGATTTCTTGCCAACAACAGGAGCGCAGTGTTTTTTTTTTTTCAAATGATTTTATGAAAAGCTTGTCAATTCTGCAGGTATTCCAGGTACGCTCTTGAACTGCCCCCTGGGCGTGTTTTTTTTTTGTTCTCTGGCAATCGGCTTACGAAACAAAGGCGATAGGTCATCATCAGTTGACCTTTGCATCGAACCTGGGTGACTCCCGTTGGCGAAGCCGACGGGGCCATAAAAGCGAGGGTCACTTGGTACAGAGCATCTGTGACCAGTGGTCATGACAGAGGTCACTTGGTATAGAGCAGCTTGTGACCAGTGGTCATAACAGAGGTCACTTGGTGTAGAACACCTGTGACCAGGGGTCATGGCGGAGGTCACTTGATATAGAGCAGCTGTGAACAGTGGTGACGGCAGAGGTCACTTGATTCAGAGCAGCTGTGACCAGTGGTCATGGCGAACAGACAAAAAACGCGAGGCGCACCCATTCTTGCCTGTCAGCCGACTCCGTGATTCAAATCCGTCGCTAAAGTAAAGCACGGAATCGAAAACCCATTGAAGCATATTTCAACGCCACGAACTCAGAAACATCCGCTTTAGCTAAACTATTGGAACAACGGGCCCCAAGCCCCAAGACACGTCTGGAAGCGCCTATGCACGGTGTAAACAGAATTCAGAAATGTATATGAAGCTAAAAGGGGAGCCAGACCTGAATGGGGTAAAACAGGTGCATGTACATCAACATGCCAGTCCTGAATTACGTAAGTTGTTCTACCGCGTTAGGGAGAAGCATCATTCACATATAGATAAGACAGTAGTATTCACCTCGGCTATTTTTTTTTTTATAAAAGCACGTTGCCGAAATATCAACCCAACTATGTCTCCATTCTCTCGGTTTTCTCCAAGGAATAAGGCTAATACTACTGTCTTATCCATGTCAGTCGTGATGTCGCAAAATGGACGGCCATTCGTTGCGTCGTAGCCGGCGGTTACATGTGCGGACGCTGTCTGGAATGCATCCTGGCACTCGGTGAACTCTTGGGCAATATCTTCCAGATAGCCTTGTAAAACAAGCGTCAAGTGGATGACATCACATTCAAGGCAAACGACGTAAGCGGGATAATGAACATTCCCGCATACTTTTGGAGCGCGATGGGCTCAGCGCTGATGTCCTTAACCTATTGTAAGCTGTACATGCCTTAGATGATAGGGTTAAACATAAATCGGGTGAAGTTTTGAAACAGAACAGGCTTACACACATGCGTGCCTGACAGGCTTACGTTTAATCCGTAATGGAATATTATATATGCAAATGATCTAATGCAAATGAAATAACTGATAGTATGTGATTCCAGTACCTGTACACTCTAATTCGTCTTGCGGTGGCTGTTTTCCATTGACAACTAGCGGGAGTAATTCGCTGCTCTTCAGTCATGCCTCATGCCATGGCGCGCTGGTCCAGGATGGAGAGCAACTATCAACTACGTATTTGTTGATAGCTCGATCGCTGACGGAGCCGATAGCCCGATCGTTGACGGAGCCGATAGCCCGATCGTTGACGGAGCCGATAGCCCGATCGTTGACGGAGCCGATAGCTCGATCGTTGACGAAGCCGATAGCTCGATCGTTGACGGAGCCGATAGCCCGATCGTTGACGGAGCCGATCATCAGCGACCAATTCATAACCAGCAATGCCGAAAACGTGAGCCACATCTTTTTTGGTTCCATCGGCGACAAGGGCGTCATTCCGTGCGTTCCTGCCACGCTCAGACGTTGAGCGCACTTTGGGCTGTCAGCTCCGCGGCCGTTTTTAGACAGCCTGTCCGCTCTGCGTGACAGTGCCTGAGGCCTCGCGTGCGGCAGGTCACGTGACACGCGGACGCCACCCGGTGCCGGCTGGCAGCGACCGGAGCGGTTGGCAGGACCACGTGACCTGGAGCCGGTCCATGCTCTGTTTGCCACCGCGGAGGCGTGGCCGGCGCCGCGTGACGGACCGGGTCAGAGCCGCCGGCCGCCTCGGGCGTCACTTCGCTGGCGGCTTCCCACGACTTCCCACCGCCGCAGGGATCCAGTGAGCACAAGGGTCGCATTGGAGATGGTGCACACGTCTGATGTATATGCTATGTTAGGGGCGTATGCAGGAATTCGCGATTGATGAAGGGGTGCGAAGCTTATTTTTTGTCAATGGAAACACAGCATACCTCACTGCAGCCACGCCGAATTTCCTGTGTGGTTTAAAACAGTATTGCGCGTTCTTGCCCTACTTATTTTTACGCGCCTGTTCGAATGCTTTTATAACATGCACTAGCAAAGTATTAACGTATCCAATGAAATCGATTGGGCGCATGTGCATCTGGAGAGGCAGTGTGTGCATATGCCGCTGTATCACGTGGCCGAAGGAAGGCATCGGAGCTCGGATAGAACGTCAGCGCGTCCGATCGACCAGGTGACCTCCGACCTCCCAGGTCAGGACTGGAGCTCGGTAATGCCGTCCCGGCGCTGGTGAGGTACTCAGGGGTCCTGCACTCCAGGGCAGATGCGGTAAGCAGATGCGGTGTGTGTGTGTGGGGGGGGGGGGGGGTATCGTGCTCTCCTGCAGGCATCGTGCACCTGAGGGGCAAACGAGATTGCTGGCAAAAAACATTGTTATTTAATTTTGTGAGTCTTCAACACTGTGTCAGTTTGAGCACGATTTACGCAGTTTTATTCATGGAACTGAAACCATATTTTTAGGCTGAAATTGCGGTTTCCAGAGGAATTCACACACCAAACCAGCAACAACCTCCGCTTAGCTGGGTGGACTCCCTGTACATCCAGTTCAAAACCCAGCACGGAAATGACCAGGTAATTGCCCCCTCCGACTTGTTTGACTGTACAACCCTTACTAACACTGTGAATGAGTGGTTGCAGCTTATTGGATGCTTATAGCGGCTTCCATTAGAAGGCTTTGGCTAATAACCACTTTAAGCCTTCTCATGTATGATTTTCCTTGCCTATTACATAAAACAGTTCCTTCGGGTCTGCACCACCTCTTCGCCTGCTTCTTTGCGTTTGTTTCCTCTTCCTAGCTGGGAGTGCCGCGACTTGATTTTGCCTTTCTGGTGTTAACGTACGGTTTATTAGCGTACGGTTTATTGCGTCGCTGGGCCAGAGGGAGGGACATTCTTGATTACCTGTTCTTGGGTAACAGTATGGAAAATAAAAAAGACCCTCCACCACCAGCGTCGATAGCTTTCGCAGATTACCCATTGCGCTAGAATACCGACAAGATCCTTCGATATCTTAAGCATTCGCCGCATATGAAATTCTCCGTTTACTGAAGTATGCACCGGCTGAAACCTTTAAGTGCTGACATCAGATCTAACGTCGAGGATCTATACCGTGTTCTGCTTCAATTTGCTCTGCGTCAACACATGGGCGTCTCCACCACTGGGTTTACTGGGATGCGGATGCCGGATCTTGGGGGCTCCCTGGATGATCTGTTATCCACACAAGTTGACATGTGAAAAGATTGCTTACTCGAAAACATTTTGATCTAAATTTTCAAGAGTTTCAGAATGTTGTCTGCTCATTTCATATCCTTCAGACGCTCTTGTATGGCGTTGTGGCATTTTGCCAGCGTTTTAGTTCATGTCCAGGCAGAAGATGCATGCCCATTGGCAGTATTTCACGGATTCTGGACGGATTTGCTGGCGCCGAAAACCTTTCCACGGAACCAATCTTCTGCTAGGTTAAAGAACTTATTGGTAAGCTCATCCACTGCAAACAAAACTGGACTATGAAAAAATCCGGCCACGTCTTGCACAAAACGTTCCCGTTTCGGTGAGCGCCCGGGACCACCGGGGAGAAGCCCGATGGCGCGCCGGTTCGCAGTCGCAGCAGCCTACGCGATTTCCCCACGCGGAGCGACGCCGCGGCGACACGGTCGTCGGCCCGTCCGCGCCGCCCGTGAAATTGGCCGTATGGACGCGGCGGAATGTCAGCCGAGGCGTCGACGCGGCTGGCTGGACGAAAGCGCGCCGGGCCGGGCGGCGGAGGCGGGGCGAGCGCTCGTGAGTCGCGTGGAGACGGTGGCAGGGTGAGACGGCCGGGTGGGTGTGCCGCGCGGTGTCGCGAGTCGGGCGCGCGGGTGAGGAGCTACGATATCGGGGGAGGGTGTTCGCATTGGAGCACGTGCAGGTGAGTCAGTCGGTTATGGCGGCCGAGATCGTGACGGGTTTGCGTGGAGGATAGCCCTGTGCTGCAGCCCAATAGATGTACAACGTGTGCAACGTAATTAAAGTGAAACTGACAGAAGGTGACAGGACAAGAGAAACAATTATTAGGAGAATGTGCGTAGGCCAAGTGGTGCACGTTTGTACCTTGTGTATGTATCTGCTATTCCTTAAGCTGTAAATGTGCACCATTTAAAGTGGTTCACCTTCGTCCATATTTTTCTTCGGTCTCAACATAAAGCAAAAAACAATCACTGAAGTCGGACAAAATTACATAGTACCTCATTGTTCTCGAGACACCTTTATTTTTGCAGGCTTTTATCGTCCCATGACGTATCAACTTTTGTTCACGCCCATGTATCTCCCGCCGCACCCTTGCCCATCAATCGGACATAAGATGGGCAAGTGACGAAGCCCGGTTTTGTCAGCCCAGATTTGTCCAAATCGGTATCCCATCAACCCGGTGAAGTTAGCAAACTGTACAACAGCGAAACAAAACCGACAAAAAGTTTTGGTTTGCAACGAGGACCTCAAAAGATAAACTGTGCCTTATAAGATGACATGGTTGATAGCTTGAAAGACACCAGTCTGCTTCGCAAGAAACACTCGTGATATGTGAAAGCCGTTTTGATGTTATCATCCGATGAGAAGAGCATGGGATTTACGTGCTCGAGAGGAAATCCTGTTTAGGCTAAACTGCGTTAGCGTAAACGTGCCTCTTGTTTTGATTGGGGACGGGAAAAGACGTGACAGGCATCCCTACAAAGCATAAACGCTTGGGTGTTTATTATGCGAATGAAGTTTCGGAACGCGGCCCCAATTTATCATTTTGAACCTTCCAGTTCCATTTCAAACGAACGTTTTCCTTATATTTTGTCATCTTGACTGGGCAAACACGTTATTCGCATTACTAATTGCAGTTTTTCTTTTTAACGTAGTGAGGCGATCTCGCTACCACGCCCGAACGTTAATCAATTATGTCATCGGACACGCAAAGATCAGACGGATTTCCAAATCGCATAGTGAGCCCCGCCAAGACAGACGTTTGTTTTCTGTCACGTTCCGTCACATCATGCATCAGCTGCATGCCAAGCAAGCAAGCGTTCATGTTCCTATGTACGGCACGGAGTCCGAAACTGTATAAGTTGGTCAGATTGGTGGCAGGAATAACCAACATGCCAGCCACTTCCACTGAGCGTCGTAACTACATAGTTTGCTGGCCCTGTAACTACCATTTAATGATACGTACGTCACATTAGCCAGCTGCGAAATTGAGGAATGTCGGTAGCGGTACCAAATAGCTGGTTGGTGCAAAAGTGTTAGTGCGTACATACTAACATACTGCTAACACACCAGATAACGACGATAGGTAAAGCAACAGCGCCATTTATAATACCACACCTCGTCTCAATCATTCCGTGAAAGTGTTCGGCGATACAGTCCTGAAAATAATGTGTTCTTCAGTGCGCTTTTGTCCCCTCTTGAAAAAGCACGATGGTGGCTACATCTAAGCTGTGGTGCCCACTGGAGGAAAAGCAACGATTAATCTTGGCTGGTAGCCGCCTTACACCTCAGGTCATTTATTACCGGAGTATCGGCGTGAGGCGCCGACCTGCTCCGCTAAACCATTCATAATGAATCTCGATTTGAATACTAAGTACGCCTGGGGCTCTCGCACCTGGCCGTCGTGCCGCGTGTCGTCATGATTTACGGGTGTTTTTCTCGAGCCGGACTTCTGGAAAAGTTGAGACTGACGCAACGCCTTCGAGACATGAACTGTCGCGCGTGAGTGGTGGGCTATGGGACCTCCCACACGCCGGATCCTGTTAGTCCATGGCACCAGTTGGCTGGGCGCGCGGTGCCTCCGCCGTCGTCTCACTCGATGCCAGCGCTGTCAAATCTCCGCCGACGAAACCGGGCCATGTACCAACACCGTCCCAGCGTCGGTGCCGCAGGTCAGGTCACGTGACCATCTCGGCACGCCGGCAGACAGTTCACGTGAACGCTGCCATCAGGGCGCTTGGGGTCATGTGCTAGTCGTGCAGATGTTTGCGGATGGTCTGGTCAGATAACAGATCACTGAATGGCGCAAGGTGTCGGTTCGCATCAGAGTTATTTAATTCCCTCAGTTGACAACTTAACACTCAGTAACAACTGAATTACTCCCTGCAGCGGAATCCAGCAAGGACCAGGGAGTCTTAAAGTTCGAGCATGGTAGTGCGCTTGACAAAATCCATGAGTAGCTATCACAGAGCCAGTCCATGTGCCAAAATAGCGTTCCTTTAAGTACAAAATTGGTTTAAAATACATCAGCCCCAGCAGCCCCAGCGCCCGCGGTAGAGTAGCTTCATTTATGCGGACGCACGCGAGGGGCTGGCAAGGGGTCTGGGACGAGCACGGTCCAATGCGTTAGTGCACCAATCATGACACCCTCCAAACAGCCGAATGCATCTCTATAGTGCGAAGGGTCTGGCTGACGGTCGGCTCAATACAAATGCTGTTCACAAATGAGAAGACACCTCTTTCTGGAAGCGATCACGTTTCACTCATCAATCGGTTTTGGCGTGAGCACCAAGTGCAGCGGAGGTCTCTTTTCACCCCCACACCCCGGTAGCTGCGCGTGACAGTGGATGGAAGGTGATAATCCGCTTATTCGTGAGAGAGAACCATTTAACGCTCAGCTGGGACGGCCTCTTCCATGTCCTGGGTAAGGCCCTCACCGTGTCCGCGCAAACGTAAACAGCGGGCGGTGCTCGGCCACAGCGAGTAATTTCAAGCGTGAGGTAACTTTTAAGAAGATCACGTTGGTGCGGATCTACCCGATGAGTTAAGTGGTTTTCTGACAGGACATGTCAAGCTGAGCTGATTGAGTGATTCTCTTTCGCTAACGGGCCATATTTAGCATGATAAACGCGGCCGCGTGACGTGGTGTGTGGGATTGGCATATGCATGAGCCTGCCCATCAATTTATGCGTTCAGTTTGAGGTCATCATGGCGTGCCACCGTCCCTCACTAAACACTGATCCTTTCCAAGGCTATTCACAGCATGCTTACAATGTAATACGTTTAGAAGCGCAAACAACAATGTTGACTTGGTCGCCTTGGTAATACAAAATGAATAATTTTGGTATACTGCTGAGTTTACTCGAACCGCGAAAAGCGAAAAAGATACACGAACAAAAGACGAACAATAAATATAGATGCTAATGAAAAAGATATAGAGCGAAAAATGCACTACATGCTGTTTAACATCGCACAATCTCGTGCAGACATCTGTGCTATTTCGGTTTTGCTATATCGGTTCGGATTCCGACCCGCGACGCACGGCATTGATTCCGACTCCGGCTCCGTGTCCACACTGCAATCGATCGTGGCCCAAGGATGTGTAGCTCACCTTCGGAATCTTTTCCGATGGAGTTGATTCCAAGCAAGATTCTATAGAAAGGATCTCGCTAAATAAACCGTTTCATTGGCTACGGAAACGGTTGTTTCCGACATATATTTGGCTCACAAAAGAGCGCTGTGTCTAGTGCTTGACGAGCTGCACAACGAAGAGACTTCAGCAGAGGAACATTGGTTATTTATTATCCTTAGATTACAGTGAACTTATCACCGATTTTAGTCAATAGGGTTGACTAGACGCTGACTTAGACTCGCAAGCACTTTGGAATGAATCGATTCCACCTTGAATCATCGGTAGTTAGGTTGATTCCGGAGCCGATTCCGATTATGCCAGTAGTCGGGCTCAAAATGACTTCATACATATTTATGTCGTATTAATGTCGCATTCATTCTGTTTATTATGGTATTCATTTCGTTCAGCGGAATGCTTGCCCTTTTGGGCTGCACTCACAAAGCGTCCCGAAGACTTATGTCTCACCCATTAAGTTTCATCTCGAAAAAACGTGGGAGACGGGCGGCTATCGCCATCCATTGTTCGCCCACCTCTGTTCGATGTTCTGAGTCTGTAGCTGAGACACGAAATGTGTTACTCAGGAGATGTGGCGGGGGCACCGGGACAGCTGGTGTCAACGGCAGCGCCCCTCGCCCGCCCCCGCCCCCCTCCCCACTCGGCTCATCTGCAGAACAGGATCAGCCAGCGGTCTCCGCACTGCATGATGGCATGTAACGTGTCTCAGGTGGTATTTGACAACTACTCTTCGCGAACGATGCACGAGGCGCCTGTCTGACTCCCGCGTAGCGATGTGGCGTTGGAGCCGACTGTAGCACTGGAGTACGACTGAGCCGACTGACCACCAGGTCACCAGCGAAACGACCCCTGACGTCATGTAGCGAGGCGTACCGTTCAGCGCATCATGGTCCCTCACTTAGTTGATCAGCACATCATCGGCCCTCACCTGGCCCATCAGCACATCGTCAGCCTTCGCCTGGCCCATCAGCACATCATCGGCCCTCGCCTGGCCGATCAGCACATTATCGGCCCTCACCTGGCCCGTCAGCACATCATCGGCCCCCACCTGGCCCATCAGCACATCATCGGCCCTCACCCGGCCCATCAGCACATTATCGGCCCTCGCCTGGCCCGTCAGCACATCATCGGCCCCCACCTGGCCCATCAGTATATCATCGGCCCTCACCTTGCTGATCAGTACATCATCGGCTCTCACTTGCCCATCAATCAGCACATCATCGGCCCTCACCTGGCCCATCAGCGGCTAATCGGGGTCAGAGCGTGATCCGTAATCGGTCATTGCGATGACAGGGACGCCGCTACTTTCACTGCTAATTCAGGCTCGACCGCAAAGCAGAAGCTGCATCTAAGTCGCAGAGCTCGTCGGCACTGGAATGGCGAACTCGGTTTTGCTGCAAAACCTCGCTTGCGTGGCTCGGGTCAAATTGTTGTGCCCCGAGGTCGTCTGCTGGACGCATGCCTGGGTCATGTTTCTGTGGGTGACGTTAGGGTTAGTCTATCTGACGGACGACAGAACGCGCTAGTGAGTGACA